TGGCCCCCCCCCCCCCCCACCTTAATAATCTATGCAGAAAATGGAGGGAAAGGACAGCTTCCCCACCTGCCTGTATGGCCCACATTAAATTCTAAGCCCAGGGACTCAGGGCAGACACTGACACAAAGCTTCAAGACCAAAGCTGAACCATCATTTTTCCTTTGGTTTATGGTTTCTTCATGCAGAACCACAACCAGAGGCTTAACCCGGGCACAGAGCCTTTCTTAAAAGGCCACACGGCTTGGGCCTTTCCTGAAGAGAGCCTGTCAGGAACACATTCAGTATCTTACCGACAGATGTTGTGAAGGCTGAGTAATCCTAAGAGGCAGCGGGGTGAAAGGGGCAGCTGGTTGGGGCCATGGAAAGGCCTCGCTTGCACCCACTGCAGGAGGCCCAGCAGGCAGAAGTGCCTCAGCCAAGGACAAGGAGCTTGGACTCTGCAGGGGATGAGAATCTTCTCAAAAACACAATGTAACCAGCAGCCCCTGAGCCTCAGAAATCACAAATGCCTTAACCTTGGGGGCAGGCACTCCAAGCAGAGTACCCCAGACCCAAAACAGCAAGGTCAACACTCCATACATCCTTCACTTCTCCCCACCCTGGTGGGGCCCCTCTTCCTTCAATCCATCTCCAGGCCATCTGTCCTCCTCACCTTTACAAACACTGCTCCTGAGAATTCACCAGGACCTGCTTCAGCATTCTTCAACAGGGCTGCCTCCCTGCAAGGCCTGCAGTGGCCTCAGTCTGGTACATTCATCAGCCTCTGGCCTCTGTGTAGCAGGTGCTCAATAACTGACTGGCTGAGTGAATGAATCCAGGGGACGCCAGAGCCTCTGTCATTTAGAGGTAGTACCTGTAGAAGCCTCCACTAGTCTACAACAGCCCAGCAGAGTTGGAAACAGAAAAGCCTCCTTTATGTGAGGAGAGGAAGGTGGGCACTGAAGAAGCCGAACACCTGAGCAAAGCTACTTCGTCTTTCTGGGCCTCAGCCACGTTTACTGGGCAATGACAATGTGCCAGACCTTTGTTAGACACTTGACACCATTACCTCTTTGAATCTTCACTACAAACCCATTTGTAGGCACTAAAATTCCCCATTTAACAGAAGGGAAACTGAGGCACAAAGAGGTTAAGTAACCTGCTCAAGGTCATGCAAGTAGTATGATAGCAGAGCCAGGATTTGAATACAGATCTGCCTGAACTCAGAGGCAAGGCTCTCAACCATTACCCATAAAGCCTCTGACAGTTCAGGGACATTGTGGGAGGTTTGGAGACATTCTCAAAGTCTCTTCTTGGGAACTTTTGCTCTATTCCTCTCTAGGATGGGCTGGTAAAGGACCAGTTTGGGGTCCAGCCTCTTCCCCTTGTGTCCTCTTGGACAGGCCACCAAACTGCAAGGCTCTGGGATTCCACTCCAGGGAATCCAGCCCCACCCTTGTCCTGTACCTGCTCTAACCAGCAGATACCGCTGGGAGATCAAGATGACATGGGGGAGGGGGAGGAGGGAAGGATTGGAAGCAAGAGCTTTGGTCCAAGACTTTATCCAGACCTGCTTTGTTCAGTAGGTTTAAGGATGAGGGGGAACCACACATCAGAATGGGATCTGAAGCTTGTGTCAAAGAGCCTTTCACATGCTCCTTTCAGCCAGCACGCAGCATTGTGTCCCCAACAGCCAGGTGCAGGCTACCCCCTCCCCTCTGGGTGTGATGTGGAGGGGCACCGTCTGCTTTCCCAGGAAAGGAACATCAGGCACAGAGGATTTTCAGGCCTGTAGGGATTTCATTGCAGTTTTCCCAATGAGGGAGGGCAGCATTCCAGTGGGTGCCACGTAGCTCCACAACTAGCTGCTCTTCCTCCTTTACCCCCTTGCTGCCCTCTTTGTGGACACCAGTCCTCTTCTCCTGCCTGGCTGTTAATGTGCATCTGTTCTCCCTGCTCCAAACATCTGGTTTGGGACTAGATGTCCTAGAGGACAACCAGCAAAGATCCAATGAGGGAGCCAGCTCTGGCTGAAGAAGAAAGCAGGCAGGTGACTAAAAACAGGGAAGCCAGGCCACCCTCCAGCTCACTGCTGCCAGGCTTCCGACTGAGGCAGGGTGTGAAGAGAAGGGGGGACATGAGAGCTATCCCTTTATTCTGAGGATCACTTGTGCTAGGGTCCAGGCTCTGCCAGTTACTGACTCAGCCACACAGCTTCTTGGGGCCTCAGTTTCCTCATCCATAAATTGGGATTACAGCAAGACCTCACTCATAACTGAAAAGGATAAAAAAAACTCAGAATGAGACACTGTGCAAATTCTAAAGCTAAATGCTGAGCTTGTTTTAGTTAACTATCTAAAGGGAGATGACCACTAACTGGCAACATCATGGGCCTCACCCCCAAAGGCCAGCAACAGGAGATCAGAAGCCCTCCCACCCCTATCATGTGGCTGAAGCCCAAGAACAGGCCATGAGGGAAAGAAAGGTGCCTGAGGAACTTGATAAGCAGGTTTCAAAAAGTCGAAACAACCCCATACCTTCTATCAAATCCAGTACAAAAGTTGTTTCCCAGCTTACAACTCCCCAACTGGTATTCTGTGGATAACAGGAAGGCAAGTAAGGCTGTTACACTTGAGGTGAACATTGCTCTCTCCCCTTGTGTCCACCCTCACTGCCTCCAAGAAGCACTAGATGAGGACACTACAGTCATCCCTTGGTGTCCTTGGGGCACTGGTTCCAGGCCACCCCCATACGAGAATCCATGGATTCTCAAAAGTCTCTGATATAAAATGGCGTAGTATTTGCATGTAACCTACGCACATCTTCCCATATACTTTAATTGTTTTTGCAGCTGGCTGGTACAGGGATCTGAACCCTTGACCTTTGTGTTACCAACACCATGCTCCCCCTTAAGCGAGCTAACTGGCCAGTCCCCATATACTTTAAATCATCTCTAGGTTACTTATAATGCCTAATACGATGTAAATGCTATGTAAATAGTTGTTAAATTGTATTTTTTTAAAATTCAGATTGTTTTTA